TCCTACATGTTCTGTATTTCTCTCGATCTATGTGTGCATATAGTCTATATTTTTACTTATAATGCTTGCCCGTATAAAAAAAACACATAAGAACGAAACACGCGAGAGTAGCGTGGTGGGTAGATGATGACAAGTGCGTACTGTTGCCACTGCAGCGTCTCTAAATGAGCGGAGTGATGTCTGTGCTATAACCACTCTATGTCTGCTCGTGTGTGTGTTGCGTCTGTTCTTTTATATATATATATATATATATATATATATATATATATATATATATATATATATATATATATATATATATATATATATATATATATATATATATGTGTGTGTGTGTGTGTGTGTGTGTGTGTGTGCGCGAACGTGTGTGTCCCTAAGTCCGTGTCTTTCTCTAGAGATCATCACTTTAGGAGGAGGAGAACTCCTTCGTCGTCCTGTTTGTCGTGTCCACCCAGGCTGATTGGGTCTTAGATTGCAGCAGACAGACAAAGATACCTGATTATGGTAATACTTCCCCTCTCCACAATCGAACCCATGTCCTCTGTTTGCGACAGAAAAAAACAAAAAAAACAACAAAAAAAACCGACCCTAAAATAATCAGAAAACAAACAAACAAACAAACGAAAACAGAAAAAAACAGACAACGCTTACGGTATAGACTAATAATTTTTTCAAGGACAGGTTAGTTAAAATTTTACCGATTTCGGATGAGGCCAGAATAGATACGAGCAAGGCCAGAATAGATACTTTCCTTGAGGCCAGAATAGATACTTTGGGTGCAGCCAGAATAGATACTTTCCTTGAGGCCAGAGTAAATACTTTCCTTGAGACCAGAATAGATACTTTCCTTGAGACCAGAATAGATACTTTGGGTGTGGTCAGAATAGATGCTTTGGGTGTGGTCAGAATAGATAGGCCAAGTTTGGGTGAAATCAGAGTAGATACCTGGGGGTGAGGTCAGAATAAAACATCATGCACATGTATACAACAGAGGGGTAACATGGAAAGAAAACCGATCATTTCGTCACACGGTCATCTCGTCACACCACAATTATGTGTAAAAAATGACTTTGCTTATCCCACCAAAACTGTTATGCTGCTACGAGTAGATTTTGGAGGATCAGCGCCAGCAGTCTTTATTTTAAATCACCAATTCAAGCACATAATCGTTGGACCCGCCATCTTGTTTTAAAATAATCTAAGCCTAAAAAGGCCCCCCCCCCCCCCTTTTCCACCAATAAAATAACCCTCCCCCCAAAAATCGTGATTTGAGAATGCCAGGAAACTGCGCGTTTGATGTTTGCAAGTTTTTGACCGTCTCCATTCAACCTTGTGGATTTGTGGTGTGACGGAATGATTGTGACGTCTTGACTGCACTGGTGTGACGAAATGTCCATGTGAGGAAATTAATGGTACTCCGTGGAAAGACCAAGACAATAATACATGTACATCATGTATTAATAGATTTTATGAGAGCATCCGATTAGAGAAAAGAGAAGCAAACCGTGATCGTCGACGTCTGTTTCTTTTTCTATTTAAAAGTAAGAGTTTTACGGCAATTGCAACACAATAAGGTCATATAAGTGCCGAAGATTAGAGGTGTTACAAGAGAGTAACAAACACAAAAAGGAGGAGAGATAAAGACGATAGTTGCTTGATAGGAAAGAAGGAGCAAACCACACCAGAGCAACCGCCAACCACCAAACGTCGGTTTCAAATCTGGCACTACATCGTAAAGATGAAATAAAATACGTGCGTATAAGCACGTTATATTTTTCCTCGAAGGGGGACACTTTATTTTTGCACGAAGGGAAAGACATTACAGTACAGTAACAACAAGTGCAGAAGGCGACAACAGACCCACTAAGTCAGTGTCAATCTCTCTTCTCTTTCTTATGAAATTGTCCATTTTCTGCTTCCATATTTCTTTCCTATCTTCCCTTGAATTTAAAAGGAATGAACAAAAAGTACTAAACATGGGTGTGAGGAGGAAGGAGGGTGGAGTGCTGGAGATTGAGAGAGAAAGAGAGAGAGAGAGAGAGAGAGAGAGAGAGAGAGAGAGAGAGAGAGAGAGAGAGAGAGAGAGAGAGAGAGACAGACAGACAGACAGACAGACAGACAGACAGACAGAGAATGAGAGGGGAAAAGAGAGAGAAAGAGACGGGGGGGTGGG